CTCAGCTTCAGCTTGAATTTGCATATGAATAATTGGTGGTCTGTTCCACAATCAGCCCCTGGCCTAGTTTTCACAGCTGATATTGAGCTTCTCCAGCGGTTCCTTAATATGTTAAAGTGGGCCCCCTTTCCCTTCATCTCAATGCCCCTGTTCAGTATGAAGCAGCGAGAGAGTCTGTGCCCCTATTCTCAAATGGGAAACCCACAAATAAGAAAGATAATCTGCTTTTTAAAAACAATTATCACCATTTTACTATGCCCACCATTACCCTTTTTGTTCCCATTAGACTTTTCTCATTTCCTTTACCAGCTGCCTCTATCCACCAAATTACCCGCTCCCTCTATCCACCAAATTGTACAACCCTTTAATTTCATCCATACTCATCCTCAGCCTTCTGCTCCCACCTCTTACCCTCTTGGATCCACAGATAGGTTTTTAACAATAAAAAATTAATAAAAAAGTGGAAATGATCACTGGGAAACTAGTTTTCTTCCATGAAAGGTAATGAAGTGAGGGAAATCAATTGAACCTTTACCAAACAGAATTTACTTGCATATATATGATACAGGCCATGGTCTTTGCAATCACTTGCTATGCATCAAAGAGTTGGACAATGACTAGGGAGGTTAGAAGGAGAATTGATGCCTTTGAGCTGTGGCGCTGGAGAGGAGTATTGAATATATCATGGACTGCTAAGAAAACGAACAGGTTCATTCTGGAAAGGGTTAAACCAGGCTGCTTCTTGGAGGCAGGGATTCTGAGGCTTCATCTGATATACTTTGGACTTGTTGCAAGGAGGGACCTGTCTTTGGAGAGGGACGTCATGCTTGGGAGGGTAGAGGGACAGCACAGGAGAGGAAGGCCCTCTGTGAGTTGGATTGATTCAGTGACTGAGGGAATCGGAGTGGGTGTGTCAGAGACAGTGAGATTGGCACAGGACAGAGCACGGTTTAGGGCTGTTGTACATAGGGTCACTATGAGTCGCAAGTGACTCAACGGCACATAACAACAACAAGAACATGGACAAGAATTATTTTGCATTCAGGTTCGTCATGGAGAGGGTGAAAGTAGACTGCTACTTGGAGGCAAGGATTCTGAAGCTCTGTCTGACCTGCTTTGGGCATGTTGCAAGGAAGAACCAGTCTCTGGAAAGGGACATCGTGATTGGGAGAGTGGAGGGGCAGCGCAAGAGGAAAAACCCTGGGTGAGATAGATTGACTCAGTGACTGGGGTAATGTGTAATGGGGGTAGG